AATAAGAAAATATATGAGGTCTGGCATGGTGGCTCACACTTGTGATCCCAGCACTTTGGGAGGCTGAGATGGAAGGATTACTTGAGCCCAGGAGTTTGAGACTAGACTGTATTTGAGACCCCATCTCTGCAAAAAAATAAAAAATTAGCTGGGTGTGATGATGTGTGCTGGTGGTCCCAACTATTCAGGAGGCTGAGGTGGGAGGATCACTAGAGCCCAGGAGGTCAAGGCTGCAGAGAGCTGTGATTGTGCTACTGCACACCAGCCTGGGTGACAGAGCGAGACTCTGTCTCTCAAAAAAACAAAAAAAAAAGATATAGGATTCCTTGGTTGTTTGTGTTTCTTAGAATGCCTTTCTTTCTGCATTCAAAAGAAGTCTGGTTCTAACAGAAAGCTCGGTTTCTTGGAGCTATGGACACTCCTGCTAACTTGATCACATGAGTAACACACTTACCTTGCACTCACTTTGAGTCTCACTGAACTCCCAGGCACAGTAGGTCCCCCAGAATTCTGTGTTCATTGGCCGGGATGTGCACTATCTGCAAATGGGGCAACAAGGAAGCAGACACACATGATGCGCATATCTCTTCTGCTCACGTGCATGCTCCACTGTCCCAAAAGACTTCACTTACAGAACAAGTTCAAAGAAATAAAATTATTAACTCTATCAAGATGGTGACAGCAAAGCATCAAATCAAGCATGGGGGCTTTCTTTGAGGGGTTGGGAGGTGGTCCTAGGTAACCATGAAGCTGGCCCTGCCCATTTGCTTCTTACATTAAGTTCATTCCATGCAGGCACAGCTTCTCCAGGATTCTGATTAGTCATAATTCCTGAGGAAATTTACAAAATGACACTAGTGAGACAAACTACAGCTTCTAGCTGCTGCAGTTGGTCCCAAGGCTATAATTGATACCATCTCCCTCCCTCCTCTCTACACATTCTAGATTCCCCTCATCCTCAACTGGTACTTCTGAGATGACTCACACTCTCATCCCTCATGGGCTGGAGGCCCTGCATTGCATGCCTTATCAGACCACATGTATGGGAGCACCAAAGATGCCCCAGTGGATCACCTCAGTGCCATACATATTCCTCATGTCCCAGTGATATAACCACAGCCCTATAGTTATGGTAATTCCTTCTTGTGACTACTGGTCTGCTGGCATGAGGAGCCCAAGAGACCATGTAGCAGCCATAGCTTTAAGATTAGCAGAAGGAACTCTGTCCCCCTCCAGGAATCAAGACCTCTAGACCCACAGAGTGGTAACATTACAGTGACAAGAAGCCCAGATTCCCATGGTTACTGGGAGTGATAGTGGGCATGGCTAATCCTACTTGGTTCTCCCAAGCCCATGTATTCGGCCTATTAGGGACACAGCATCAAATAAATGCCTTGATTTAAGGAGTACATAACATCCCAAAGAGCACTGGCCCATCTCTTTGGGCTTCATTTCCAAGTTTGTGAAGCTAATGCTTCAGCTGCATCTTTAAGGGGCCCCAATGCACTGCCATCTCAGGTCAGCATCTTCCAGGTAGTATGGTTTGTGTAAGGGCAGTGAATCCCAAAATCACATGACCACTGCTGAACTTCTTTTGCTGGAAAGTGGATCTATTGTGCAGAGGAGATATTATATTTTCCCATAGTGGTGAATTAGACACTCAGCCCTCAGAAAAGGGTGCTGGCCAAGGCCACAGAACAGCTGGTTCTCACTATGGGAGGTCATGTGATATCACCTTGGCCCGAGGCACCCACTTCACTAGCCCTCAATGTAGGGGACTAATGTGGTATTTCATAGAATATATTGATGGTCCAGATCCTTTTGGGCTATATTGTGACAGAGAACAAGAGAAGTAAGTAGGCCTGGAGCAAGACTGTGAACGTACCCTCTTGCCCTTCCCAAGTATTGTCCTCAGCACCTTCAGACTACAGAAGGAACCCACTTGCCCTTGTTGGAAAATAGAGCACCACCATTCCACCCCACCACATTTGCAGACAATATAGAAACATCAAAGGACTGCAGATGTTCCTTTTTCCTTACAAGTATGGAAGAGAAAACATTTTTGCATATCAATATCTACATAGCATGTTCCAGAGGCTGTATTAATCTGCTCTAGTAAAGACACTCCATCCAACCCAACAGCTGCAAGTAGGACTATACCTTGATTAAATTTGTGGTAATTCCATCTGCCAGTGATCCATCCAACAACTGCAGAAACAAGACTGGTGCCTTAAATGGGGATATGTTGAGAACCACCACCCATTCATCCTTTAAGTCTTGAGAGTGGCACTCTGAGGATGCCGCTGATTTGCAATAGTGTTTTTATGTACTGTCTTGGTTTGGGGTTGGGGCTCATTTTACGGGATTTTACTTGGTCTTTTCCTACTACAAGAGGTCTTAACCCACAAGTCAAAGAACCAGTGCCAACTGCAAAGCAGATTCATTCCATTATATACTCAAGAATTGAAGAAAATTATCAATAGGTGGTTCTGTAAATCCAGTGAAGTCACTATGAAAGGCACCTGGCCCAGCAGTCCATTTATATAGGACCCACATACGTCCCTATTCTAACAACGGGATCATGGTGGCACTTTGGATACCTGGTTATCAGCATAAGCTCAGATCCTGTATCCACTAATACTGAAAGATTATGGGTATACCCCCTTCCCCAATAGACAGTTATCTTTATATAAGTAATTGACCTAGGCTGATAATTCAGCCACTTCTCTGAAGTTCTGCAACTCTTACAATTAATGTTTGTGAAGAATATTCAGCTCTTCTTGCCCTCTAGTTTAAGGAGATGAGAGTCTCTTTAAACATGCCCCAGGGAGGCCCTCTGATTCTCACACTTTGCTTTACATTGGTGATTGATTGTCCTGACCCTGTCATTTGCTCTCATCAAAGACATTCAACAACAGCCACCTATTTCCACAGTTCTTACTGGAACATCAAAGGATGTGGATGCCTCCCATATCTTTCAGTGCCAGAAATACTGCTCAAGTCAGTGCCTCCCCTTCCCTGCCTGTATTCTGTCCCATTTCTCCACAGGTGACAGTTTTAGCAATTGTATCACTACTTCATGCTAGGGATCATCTGTGCATGTCACCCACCATGGTCCTCACTGCCAGCCAAACAGTAAATTATCCACCTCCAGAATTGCATCTTAGGATCTACTTTTAGGTAAACTGTCTGGCATTAATTATGTCAAGTCAGGTGCCCTAGGAGAGCCTAAGATGGGATTCAATTGCATGTGATTTTTCAAGGAAATATTCTTCAGGAATACTCTTAAGAGAGTGAAGGATAAAAGATAGAGAAAAGGAAAGAGCGGAATGAGACGTGGTCTCAGGTAAAACAAACCTTGAATTGATCCTCAGAGGAGCTCAGGGGCATACACTGCAGGCAAAGTTGTCCTGCCACTTGAGACAACCTGGTCAGCCTTGTCTCAATCAGTCATTGGCTGTGAGCTCCCAGAGGTAGTGTTGGGTGGTTAGGGAGGGAGATATGAAAGAGCAATCCTCCAGAGCAAGGCTCAACTGTGAGCTGTCAGCAGCCACACACACAGCAACTGGGGGATGGGTGCACCAAACAGCTAAAGGAGATTTGGGAGGGGTACCTACAGTGTCTACTGCAATTGCAAGGGTATTTTGTTTTGTTTTATTTTATTTGAGACAGAGTCTCGCCTTGTCACCCAGGCTGGAGTACAGTGGCATGATCTCGACTCACTGCAACCTCTGCCTTCCAGGTTCAAGTGATTCTCCTGTCTCAGCTTCTGAGTAGCTGAGACTACAAGGACACACCACCACTCCTGGCTAATTTTTGTATTTTTAGTAGAGATGGGATTTCACCATGTTGGACAGGCTGGTCTCTAACTCCTGACCTCGTGATCCACCCACCTTGGCCTCCCAAAGTGCTGGGATTACAGGCCTGAGCCACTGCACCCAGCCTCACAAAAATTTTTTTTTTTTTTTTAATGTTTGAAAAACATTGCATATGGATGACTTTACATATACTTCTGTCTATTAAAACCCAATCTGACAGTACAATTTCTCATTTACATTTCTGCCGCAGATGCAAGATTCTAAACTCCTCTGTGGCAGAGGCTCTGTCCTATTTATTTTGCATTCCTATTTCAGGAGCTGGCACATAATTGTTACTAACCATTTATCAAATGAAGGGCAGTTTGGGGTAGATCACAGAGCAACTAGAACTCCAGGCTAGGTAACTTGGGCGTTATTCTGTTGGCAGTTAGAAAGAGTTTGAGATGCCTGGTTGGCAGCAGTACATGATATGTATTGGACCAAAGAGAGAGAAGAGAACAGTGCCAAGAGACTATTGCAGCAACACAGGCAAAAGTAACAAGAGGAGGAATTTGAGCGGAGGCTGTGAGTGTGGAGAGGCAGATGCAAAAGTAATTAAAGAGGTATTATCTACAGGGTCCAGATGGCCTCAGGCTGACATCCAGTATAGAGACCGTCAGGGATTCTAATTAATCATGTTAGGAGTTTTATACTTACATGCTCCCAAGCAGATAGAAGAGGAGCATTTCTCATTTTGCATGGAAGAAATATCTAGAAAATAAATCCATGTGGGTTTTCTCATTGTCACGCCCAATTAGGCAAAATCCTTAAAGTGGGCATGGGAATAGCCTCCATATTTTGGGCAGAACTCCACAGTCATATCTGAGAAAACCCAAGGTTATCCATGTGGAATTTGCTCAGTTCATTAGCACGAGGCGTACTTAAAATTAAAGTTGCTTCCCGGGACACTGCTTTCAAATCAATCATTCTATACAGTAACATATGTTCCAAAGCTGCAGTATTAGCACATTATTCTCAGCTGGATTCTGGACTGTATTCTGCTTAGAATAATTCATCTGTGACTCATGTGAATCATATACACACCAGGAAATACAGGGGGTGGTGCAGTGGGGGACTGGTTTTCTTGAACTCTTTCAGGCCTTGATTGTAGGCAAAGCTGTTTACATTCCTCTCCCATTTTAGGGCTCGGAAACTTTTGGCCAGAGTCCTGCTGTTCACATTGTTTTAGGAGAGCCAGTTCCTGGGAACCCTGTTACATGGACTGGACCTGGATTTGCCAGGGTTCTCCCTGGGGCTGGCTTGAGATTTGCTGTCAACAACATTCCCTTTCCTGTGGACTTCACCATTGCCATTCGCTATGAAACCCAGGTATACTTTAACTCTCCAACTTCGATGGTGAAAAGCTGACAGAAATACATTCTTGAACTGTTTCCATTTCAGCCTTGCTAGAATAGGTTCATCAGAAAAAGATTTGTAAAAAGCGAACATCTGGGGAGCGTTATAAAGCTGGTTTCTTAAAGATATTGAAGCAGCACAGTGACCCATATGCATGCATGTTGTAGCCCATGGAGAGAAGCTACAGTTGGAGTTATACATTTAAGGTACCAGGTTTAAGGAAGTGGTGACTGTTTGTATAAGAAAAATAGCCAAAATAACACAAATCCTGCCCTCCTGGTACTTTTCTTGTAAAAATTTAATAAACCAGCACATGTGCAGAGATTCAGACTCACAGGTGATGCAGCAGAGGCATTTGTTTGTATTTGGATCTTACCCTGCAACAAGAGAAAGACCAAAAGCAAACTGCCCCTCTTGTTTCCCACTACTAGACCCCCTGCTGCCTGCCTTTTAAGAAATATCTAAAACAGAATACAAGCCAAATTACAAAAATAGTTGATTTACACCAATAGTTCCTAACCTTCCTTTGGATTTGAAACCCACTGAACATCTCCTTTGAAACATGTTTGATATGACTGGAGGGGGTGTGGTCTTAGAGGCTCCCAAGCCCCACTGGGGACCACATTCTGGAGGCTGTCATGGTGCGCCACATGCCCAGAGCAGCTGATCTGCTTTGAAATGCATGATAGGACATAATTCTCTATTTCTCACTTACAAATGAAAGCCAAGGAACGTCAATGAACTTTGGCTCAGTGAATATGATAAGAAAGGCTTTAAAAATAAATATAGATTAATATATCTATAGAGAGAACATGACCCTGACACCTTGAAAAAGCTTTTCCAAATTGTAAGACTTCAGAATAGAGCAAATTTGCATATCTCCCCAATATATAGATTCCTTTTGTAAAAGATTCCAAATTATTATTATTTGTTCTGTGATCCAGAGCCATGATAAACGAGTCAACTCCCTGGGAAACAGGGGTTAGGGATTAGGCTTGTCAGGAGAGCTAAGGTTTTTCCAGGCCCGTGAGCCCATGAGAAACAATGCTTTTTCTGCCTGGATCACAATTCAGACATCAAAGAGTTGGGGCCTGGGAGTGAACCTCTAAGACTCTTTCAATTCCAAAACTGTTTGCCAAGTGGCCTATGGGTTGCAAATTCAAGTTCATGCACTTTCCATTAGCTATATGTATGTGCGTGCAAAACATTTTCCTGCATCCGTGCAGTGACATGCCTTAATGTCATGCCTGTCTAGTCTGCAGCTGACTGGACTGTCCAGATCGTGGTGAACCCCTCTCGAGGGAGTGAGCACTGCGTACCCAAGACTTCACAGTCAAAGCCTCAGTCTTTTGCCTTACCAGCGGCTACCAGGTATGTTTCAGACCTGTCTTCAAACATTGAAAGCTTCTTAGAATTTTGTTCACTTATCAGTAATTTGTATCTGGGAACTAAGTGGGGAAAGAGGAGGACTGAAGAAAACTGTAACATATGTTAAGCACTTACTGTGTGCTACACTATGCTTTACATTTATTATCACTTTTAATCTTTATAACAGCTCAGTACAGCAGGTTTTGTCTTTATCAGATGAAGACGAAATTGAGAAGGAGAATACTTAAATGACTTACCGAAAACTCATCGCTAATGTGTAGCAGAACCAGGATTCTAGCCAGGATATCCTGACTCTAAATCTTGAGTGTTCCTTTTCCAGTCCCCAGGTAGCTTTGAAATATAAGAAAGCAAAATGCAACAAGAATAAGAGTAAAACATTCAGCTTGATTACTCTCAATAGATGAGAATCTTTGAGGTAAAAGCCTACTAATATTGAGGCCACTGATTTTGCCCCAATAGAAACTTGTGGCAAAATAATTCTTTTTTTTTTTTTTTTGAGTCAGTATCTCACCCTGTCACCCAGGCTAGAGTGCAATGGCATGATCTCTGCTCACTGCAACCTCTGCCTGCTGGGTTCAAGTGATTCTCCTGCCTCAGCCTCCTGAGTAACTGGGATTACAGGAGCGTTCCACCATGCCCGGCTAACTTTTTGTATCTTTAGTAGAGACGGAGTTTCACCATGTTGGCCAGGCTGGTCTTGAACTCCTGATCTGGTGATCTGCTCACCTTGGCCTCCCAAAGTGCTGGGATTACAGGCATGAGCTGTAGCGCCCTGCCGCAGAATAATTTTTTTGAGATTTTTTGAGATCCTGTTGATGTTAACATGAGATATGGGATGAGGACCTCTGTCCCATCCTTTCCCCAGAGTTGTCATAACAACCCATAGCCAATAGTTTCTCAGACTTTGATACTTGGCACAATCGTATGGAAGAGCCACAGAGGATCTGAACGTGACTTTACCATCCAACCAACCCATCTGTGCTGGTCTAGACCTACACTGGCCTCAGGCCCACAGTGTAGGTCACTGCCCAGCACAAGTGCAATGCTACCAAATACTATGGCCATTTAGCTAATATAATTGTGCTTCTGTGGTCTGAATTTTTGCTTTATCTCTCTTAATACAGAATCATGCTGCTTCCCACACCCATCTGTTTAGAACCAGATGTACAATATTCCATAGACGTCTATTTTTCTCAGCCTTTGAAAAGAGAGTCCTACACTCATTCACACGTCCTGGTGGACTCCGTAAGTATCACAGAGCTTTGTGGGTGCTTTCTTCACTACTAAGTACCATTATAACTACTTTTAGACTCACTAGTGAAATATTTCTTAAAAAATGTAAATGTATTTGCTCAATTATAAAAGCCAACTAATAGCATTTGCAAATCTTATATAACAATATGTCCCAGTAATGGTTTGGAGTATTTTACATATTCTTTAATCACAGAAACCCTGTGTGGCAGGTACTTTCATAATTTTACAGGTGATAGAACAGAGGCACGGGGTCACAGAGCTAGTGAGTGAGAAGTTTAGAATCAGAGCCACCCTGCCTGCTTCCACATCCCTGCCCTGAGCCACGAAGCACCCTGGTGGTATAGGAAATGTGTGGAAGAAATCCAACCACATTAATCATTATCATTTTCTAAGTTCCCATTTTCTACATCCTACACTTTTGTATCATTGAAATCAGATTGCTTATACAATGTTGTAGGCCAATTTTTTTCACCTCACACTTCATCATAAGCATTTTCTTATGGTATGTATGCCGTCTTCTTATCTTTAGAAACCATGCATAATATTTCCTGAGTGACTTCTTCCAGCGTCTTTCCCCCACAGAGTGGGGCGACTGGCATTCCTTCCAAACTTCTTACTCTGCACAGCCCTTCAGACCCAGGCTTGTCCCTGGGCAAAGTTGGGCATTGAGTAGATTTACTTAAGTTACTTATCTATTTTCCCTATTCCTGGTCATATAAGTTGCTTCTATTTTTTACTACTATGTATATATGATACATTTGAAATATACTTATATTGATATATATTACTACTATATATATTTGATACATATTTTTCAAAATACTTTAAAATATTTTCCTACTTTACCTAAGGTGTTATGGCTCTTGAAATAATTTGTCAAAATATTTTCTGGAACATGTTCCCCAATTAAATTGTTTTTTTCTTTTTTGAGACGGAATCTTCTCTGTCACCCAGGCTGCAGTGCAGTGGCATGATCTTGGCTCACTGCAACCTCTGCCTCCTGAGTGCAAGCAATTCTCCTGCCTCAGCCTCTCGAGTAGCTGGGATTACAGGCACACGCCACCACACCTGGCTAATTTTTGTATTTTTAGTAGAGATGGGGTTTCACCACATTGGTCAGGTTGGTCTCAAACTCCTGACTTCAGATGATCTGCCTGCCTCGGCCTCCCAAAGTGCTGGGATTACAGGCATGAGCCACCGTGCCCAGCCTTCCCAATTAATTTTTAAGATCTTTAGTACTGAATGAAGGTACCAGTTTCATCCCAACTTCAACAGAATTGTATAGAATTGTGTGGGATTTTTAAAAAGTAATTTCATGGATAAAAATAAAATTTCTTTACTAAAATTGCATTTCTGCATATTTGTGAGAATCTTCTAATACCATGACTTAATTGGCAAACTACAGCCCAACAAAGTTTTATTAGGCCACAGCCAGTCCCATTTGTTTATATATTATCTATGGCTGCTTTCAAGCTAAAAGGCAGAGTTTAGTAGTTGCACAGAGACTTCACAGCCACATTTCATCTGGCAACCATAATCAAAGGTGTTATAAATCCTGTACCTAGAGAGCTCTGTAACAGTTCAGGTGAGAGGATCTACCTGGTAGATTCTACCATATTATAGTAGAAATAAAGTAGAAAGTAGAAACAAACTCTTAATTGGGAATTTTAAACTGTCATAATTTCCCTAACCATATAATCCATTTCTCCACTGAGGAGTTTTAAATAGAACCGCACTCATTAACCAACATATGAGTTACAAAGGGAAGAAAATCAAATCTGATAGGTTTAATTTGGGGAGAAAATGCCAAAAATTGGGAACCCCAGCAAATTAAAGAGAAAGGAAGAAATTAATGAAGTCCTAGATCACTAAGGGGTATTACTGTTATTATAATAATCAGGAAACTCAAATTTATAACAGTCGACATACCTTGATTTTTAAATTTATGTCCTAAATATTTCTAAACTTTGTAAATTCCAAAGAGTATCACTTGATGCTGTACTAAAGGTATTCATCCAAATTATCCACTCATTCACTGAGTATATACGGGCCAGAAAATATGCTGGTCCTGGGGTGTAAAGTATGGTTCCTTATTAAAAAATAATTCTCAGGCTAATACAGAAGAAATACATGTATATAAAATCATTACAATGATGTTTTATAGATGCAATAAGTAAATAATTTGGAATTAATTTTAAAATATTGCATTTAGATGGGGCATGGTGGTTCACACCCATAATCCCAGCACTTTAGGAGACTGAGGCAAGCAGACCACTTGAGGCCAGGTATTCAAGATCAGACTAGGCAACATGGTAAAATCCTGTTTCTATTCAAAATACAAAAATTAGTCAGGTGTGATAGCACATACCTGTGGTCCCAGCTACTCAGGAGGCTGAGACACAAGAATCGCTTGAACCTGGGAGGCAGAGGTTGCAATGAGACAAGATCACGCCACTGCAATCCAGCCTGGGTGACAGAGCAAGACTCTGTCTCAAAAAAATAAATAAAATAAAATATTGAATTTGATTAGTTTTCAATCGATCATTCTCTTACGTATAACTCTGGAAAACCTGAAGCATAAATAAAAGTTAAGAGAATAACCCATAATTGGTAACTGTCAGAAATCTGGGAAAAGGCCCAGACCTGTTTTAGGTCAGATTCCCTAAAGCGGAAGCTGAGACAGGGACTCAGGTTGATGTGATTTACTGAGGGTGTGTTCCTGAGAGGAGAGGAGTGAGGAAAATAGGGGAGGACAGGGGAAGGAACCAAGCAAGGATGTGATCTCCACTGAAGTGTGGCCTCAGGCTGATCCCACCTGGAGCTCTGGAGCCTGGATTGCACCACACAGTTGAACCTCCCTGGAGGCAAAGGGGTGCCTTATATATGCCCAGCTACAGGTTCATCACCACCACCATCTGCCCCACTGTAAGTGCATAAACCCCTGGACCAGGTGGCTGAGTGCAGTTTTCTGAAGAAGGGAACAGCTGTGAGGCTTGAGGAGCCAGTGCCACACCCACTACAGGATGAGTACACCAACCTGCCAAGGCAGACCTAGGCCGGGCACCTACAGTGTGCACTGTGGTCTCTGACCCAAAATGTCCAGGAGGAGAAAGTCCTTGCCCATTTCATTGTTACTGACTAACATGATTAATGCCATACAACCAATTTTGTTGCTGAGGGAAGATAAGATACTTGACTGCTTGGGACGCAGCCCTTTCAAAGTTGATTCTTTTCTGCAGCCAGATTAACATTTGCATCTAAGACCAGGGGACATTACCAAGAAGACCAAAGGAAACCTTTGTTTAACCACGGTGCTCCTTCTGCATAAATGCCTTTTGTTTGGCAAGCACTGTGAGATCACTGAAATTTGTTTTCAGTTATCCAGATTACATGGTATGTGCATTTATAAAACTGTGTTTAGAATAAAAAATATATTAGGCATTCTAGAATATAAAACTGCCATTCTTCTTTTTAAGCCATGGAATGGAATATACTTGGTAAACATAAAGTCCTTAAAAGTTTCTAGTAGAAGAAGTGAATCATGGCATTACAAAATCCTATAGCTGGCCAGGTGCGGTGGCTCTGGCCACCACTTTGGAAGGCTGAGGTGGGCAGATCACCTGACATAAGGAGTTCGAGACCAGCCTGGCCAACATGGCAAAACCCCGTCTCTATTAAAAATACAAAAATTAGCTGGACGTGATGACATTTGCCTGTAGTCACAGCTACTTGGGGAGGCTGAGGCAGGAGAATCACTTGAACCCAAGGGCAGAGGTTTCAGTGAGCCGAGATCACACCACTGCACTCCGTCTAAAAAAAAAAAAAAAAAAATCGTATAGCTGACAGGGACTCTTGTCATCTGGTGCATCTTCTCAGTTCCCAGAATGGCCAACTCTCAATGGCTCAGACGAAGAGCTGTAAATAATCTCTGGTTGGCTGCCCTCATCCCCAGCCCCAGCCTATCTGGCTTTCTTCTTCATCTCTCCCCACTTGGTTTGTGTTTGGAGAGCACAGAGTCATTTTCATATCAACTTAAGAATACAGTAGTAGACCTGTAAATATTCTTTACTGAATAAATTTTTATGAAGCACCTACTATAAATTAGACACTGTGGTAGACATAAGTGTAAACAAAACATGCATTATCCCTGCCACCCCGGTTCTTATTCACTAAAGGGGAGACGCAGACAACCAGGCAATGAGAGCATGGGGTTAGAGGTCCTGGGAACTGTAATAGGGCAGAGACCCAAAAAGCTCAGTGTGACTCTCGCAGTGGTTCTCAGCCTCATCCGACCCAACCCCATGCCCCCTTTTTAAAAATATTTTTATTATAAATATTTTCTAATATTCCTTACCATCCTGAAATGAAATTCATAGGCACTGTAGCCTACCTGCACACATGACTTCCAAATAACATCAATGTAATATGCTAATATTAATACAAAGAAAAACAAAAGGAAAGTAATGGATAAATAAATCATCAGACTTCAATATGTTCAAGTACAGGCATGAATACACCAGAATATGCAATGAAGTAGGAAGATGCTCACATAGTAGAATCACTGCAGGGGAGACAGCCATGAAAGCAGGTGTGTTGTAAACATGTTTAAAAAACATAGAGTTAGGCTCTCAACTCAAACTATAAACAGGGTTTTCTCCCTCATGAATATCCAATGGAACTTTCAAAAGCTGTAGGGGCCATTTTGTGAGAATGTCTCACGTTTCTGACCGCGACCTGCTAAATGCCTGTAATAAACTTCACTCTATTGCTGTGACAACTAAAACCACCTCCACGAATTTCCAAAATGCTCCCTAAAGGGGCAGTACCTCCCATATTCAGGACCATGGGGTTGAGAGGATGAGCAGGAGAAGCATAGCAAAATGAAAAAAAAAAAAGTAAGTTCAGATTTTTATCCTGAGGCAATGGGATGCCACTGGAAAGTTTTAAGAAGGAGATTATCTGGACAAACGGCATTTAAAAGGATCACTCTGACTTTAGCGTAGAAAATCGATTGGGTGTGGCAAGAGTGGACACTGGGCCATCTGTTGGGTTGCCACTATAATCATCCAGGTGGCCTGAATTAGGGAAGTGGCAGGGGAACAAAGAGCCATAAATGCACCCTAGAAACATCTAAGAGGAGGAATTGGCCAGGCTTGTGATTTGATGTGTGGGGGATGTGCGTTAGGCAAGAGTGTTGATAGCAAAGAGGCAGGTGTCAAAGATGACCTCCCTCAGTTTTCTCCACTGAGCAGCTTGGCAGATGGTGGCATTGTTTACCAAGAATAAGCACAGAAAGGAAAGTGGGGTTCAGGCATGTTTGTTTTGCAGTGCCTGTGGGGCAACTAATAGGCATTAGATATCAGTGCAGATCTGGAGCCCACGACTGACAGGGGTGCAGGAGATGTAAATTCAGATGCTGGCACCCATTCAGACAGTGGTCCAGTGTGGCCAAGATCACCTAGGAAGTAGGTGTGGAGTTAGGAGGCGGCTGATGAGAGAACCCTGAGGAACTCTAACATTTAGGGACGGGGTAGGACAGAAGTATTGCATTGGTTTGAAGGGTGAATGGGAGATGAGGCAGGGGTGATGGCAAGGAAATGATTGTTTAAGAAATTTGTCTATCAAGAAGTCAAAGGGCAGAGACAGGGCAGTGGCAAGAGGAATAAGTGCGATTGAGGAGGTGATTTTATAGATGGGAGAGACTTGAGCACATTTAAATGTGAGTTGAGAGGAAGAGAGCAAAGAAAGCAAGCATAATTTGCAGAAGAGTTTTGTGAGGTTAGAGGATTTACCAATGGGATACCTCTTCCACTCCAATACCTCTTCCTTCTTGAGCACTAAATGTCCTGGATGGGTGGTAAGACTTGAAAACCTGGAATTTGGGAGGCAGGTAGTAGGAACCTCCAGGCCTTTTGCTGGGTCTGTTTCCTCTGTGTAGTAAGCAGGTAACAGCATATGCTCAGAGTGCAGCAGAAAGAGGAGACACTGGTAAATACAGTGGACTTTTGAACAACTCGGGGGTTAGGGGCGTCAACCCCCCATGCGGTCAGAAACCTACATATGATTTTATACTCCCCAAAAACTTAAATACTAATCGCCCACTGTTGACTGAAAGCCTTACCAATAACATACAGCCAATTAATACATATTTTGTATATGTAGTATATACTGTATCCTACAATAAAGTAAGCTAGAAAAAAGAATGCGTTATTAAGAAAATCACAAGGAAGAGAAAATGTTTATATTCATTAAGTGGAAGTGGATCATCACAAAGGTCTTCATCCTCTTCATCTGCATGCTGAGTAGGCTGAGGAGGAGGAGGAAGAGGAGGAAGAGGAGGGCTTGGCCTTGCTGTCTTGGAGTAGTACAGGCGGAAGAAAATCCACATAGAAGGGACCTGTACAGTTCAAACCTGTGTTGTCAAAGGGTCAGCTCTGGTCATCTAGGGTTGTGATGCCACTAGCTGGGTGTGTCAAAGGACAATTAGGGAAAGACTGAAGAGAGTTGAAGTAAAGGGCTATGGAAACTGGTTTCAGGATGGATAAAGCAAAAAGAAGACTAGAGGAGATGTATCTGTGCACAGGTTTAGTCTCCAGACTTTGCCTGCTGAATTAAAACCCACTTTCACGGCTGCTTTTAACACCAATTGTTCAAAATGACCAACTTGATGTTATTACTCTTTCAAATCTAGGCAAACATATTAGCAAGTAAAAAATATGACAGTAAAAAGATAAAGGCTTATTTTTTTTTCTTTGCCACAAGTCCAGAAATATAAATATTTAAATATTTCTTCCATAAATTGAAAATCTTAAAAGTCTTCAGTCCTAACCAGCTTAAAGGATTGAGTTGAGTCTTCTTTCAACCATTATTTTCATAGATCTAATTTTTTTATATATATAAGTAGAATCTTACACAGCAGATAGTGTGAATGTTAAGTCTTTTTGCATTGTTTCAAAAGCTTGGCCTTATTCCCCAAATCAATTCATTGGAGAATTTCTGCAGCAAGCAGGACTTAGATGAGTATCAGCTTCACAACTGTGTTGAAATTGCCTCAGCAATGGGACCTCAAGTGCTCCCGGGTGCCTGTGAAAGGCTGATCATCAGCATGTCCGCCAAGCTGCATGATGGGGCTGTGGGTATGTATCTGTTTAATGAACTCTACTGAAGCACTGACATCCATACAAATGCTTTTTAAAGCAAATCAGTTTATGTTAGCATCCACTCCAAACAACAACCAAAATATCCATCACTCAATAATTAGATACACAGAGCGGTCTGCTGATGTGTTGGAATCATAATGCACAGTACAGTGAGTGTGTAAAAGAGAAACTTTGCAGCAGCGTTCGTAGGCTAGATGGCTAGAACAATGGTCCTAAAATATTCATTTGGAATTCTAGTGCTGGAAGGAACTCCAGACATCTTCTTTCATCCCAAAATATTCATTTAATAAATGAGCATATTGGAGCCCAAAATCTGTATGTAACTTACCCATTTTATTTAGCTATGGAAGGATTTTTCTCCCTCAGCACCACTGAAATTTTGAGCTGGATAATTCTTTGCTGCAGGGGCCTGCCCTATGCACTATCAGGTGTTTAGCAGCAGCCCTACAGATCTTATACCAGTACCGCCCTCCCCTAGTTGTGACATCCAAAAATGTCTCCAAACTTTGTCAAATGTCACCTGAGGGACAAAATCATCCTTCAGTTGAGAAGCATGGCTATAGAGTGACAGCTACAATGAGAGTCGAGGCTTCCTGAATGTCAGGCAAATGCTTTTTCCCTTAGGACAGAGCTATGAGTTCAGGGTACCCACCATCTCATGAAATATATGGAATAGGGGGAAATAAAAAACTAGTAAGGGGGGCCAGTCATGGTGGCTCACACCTGTAATTCCAGCACTTTGGGAGGCCGAGGCAGGCAGATTGTTTGAGGTCAGGAGTTCAAGACCAGCCTGGCCAAAATGGTGACAGACCATCTCTACTAAAAATACAAAAATTAGCCAGATGTGATGGTGTGTGCCTGTAATCATAGCTACTCGGGGGGCTGAGGCATGAAAATCACTTGAACTGGGGAGGTAGAGGTTGCAGTGAGCCAAGGTCACACTACTGCACTCCAGCCTGGGCCATAGAACGAGACTCAGTCTCAAAAAAACAAAAAACAAACAAAAAACTAGTAAGGGGCAGACACCTGTAGCCCTAGCTACTTGGGAGGCTGAGGCAGGAGGATTGCTTAAGCCCTGGAATTCAAGGCTGCAGTGAGCTAAGATCACACCACTCCAGTAACAGAGTGAGACCTTGTCTCTAAAAAATAAATAAAATAGTAGGTAAAATTCAGCACCAATGTAGAACATCAGGAATTGAAGTATTAAGAATGCCAATAGTATTAATTACATTAGAATAATTATTTAAAACCAATTTTAAGTCTGTTAACTTGTTAAGTAATGTTTATTGAGCACCCTATGTGCCAGCACTGTTCTAAGTACTTCATAGACGTTATTTCCTTTTATCCATACAACAGTCCCACAAGGCAGATCCTATATTATCCCTGTTTAACAGATGAGGGAGTTGAGTGTTAAAGAGGTCTTAAATGAGGGAGAGGTAAACTATAGCTACTAACAAGGTGAGGTGCTTCTCTGCCTTTTCATTCATTTCTACCTCCCTTCCTTTGTTCCTTGCAGCCTGCAAGTGTCACCCCCAGGGCTCAGTCGGATCCAGCTGTAGTCGACTTGGAGGCCAGTGCCAGTGTAAATCTCTTGTGGTCGGGCGCTGCTGTGATAGGTGCTCACCTGGAAGCTATGGTTTGGGGCATCATGGCTGTCACCGTACGTAGCAAAACATACCAGGGGAAACACTTGCTCACAGTCTTGACATTTTGACAGCAGGCAAAGTCATGGGGGGAGTTTTTAAGGGGAGGAGATTGGAAACTTGACTACATTATTCAGACTATCTATGTAGATAAAATACACTGAACATTTTTTTGCTACACTTCATTCATCCATTCATCAATGGGCCCTGACTGTAGGCAGAGCTGCATTAGGAACTGAGAGTAATGAACAAAGCATAGTCCATGCCTCTGGAAGTTTGCAGTCTGTATCAAATGGATGGTTAAGGTAAAATGTGGAGCACCATGAAGGGAGCTGGCAAAGCCAGCTTGAGGATCTAGCTCACGAGCCCAGTGGCTGGAAAGGCTAAAACAATGATAAGATTGGGGAGTCAAGAAAGGGACAATGCTGCCACCACAGACAAGACTTCTCCCAACAAGGGTATCACCCTTTCTGATGCGAGGTTTGCAAACAGCCTTGTAACTCAGTTCATAAGTCACTCACTGATAAGGGTTTAGATGGGGCTTCATCCACAGCTGATAATCCAGTTCTCATGGTATATAGTTCTCTCTTCACAGTGAAAATCATTAGTGAAAATACTGTTCCCTCAGATTCCTACCTTAGGAACCATGAAAACCTACAGATAGGTTAATTTCCTTTCCAAGTAGGGAAACATATCTTTTCCGTCCTAATTCAGAGAGATGGTTCCCCTTCCTGGGCATTGCTTGGGCATGGCTGCCCACCCAGCCCATCACTGGACCCATCATTGCTTTCTTTTCTTTTAAAAAAAAGTTACAAAATGCCTGAGATACACAAAGGGATCTAGACAAAGGAACAAACATTTCTTCCATGTGCCACTCTATCAAATAAACTGGCATCACATTGTGGCACAGGGAAGATTGGCTCAAGGGATTCAACAATTTATCAGAAAAGGATTGGGCCTCTCCCATCTTGTCTAGGAAAAAGAAAACTCTGACCGTGTTAAGATGGGTTCTTACATGGTTTATAATCTAGAGGTTATATTAATACTATACCATTATTATAGTATAGTAGTTATATATACTATATTAATACTATAATATTAATACTAGAGGTTTTATTAATATACCTAAGATATATGGAAGTTTAAGTCGTTAAAAACATGTTACTTGTTTGGTTTCTCTGTATAAACAACAAATGTTCATAAGACCCAATTGTTCGCAACATACTGTTTATCCAGTGACTCAGTGAGTTGTTATTTAACGTTTACCTGAAACTCATTATAAGCTCTGTCCTAAGCACCTTACAGGCTTACTTGGTTCACCGAGCTTGGGACAGGAAACACGACACCAGAACTGTAACTCTTTCACCACCACACACCACTCATCCCCACCCCAGCATACTTCTCTTTGCTTTATCCAGCATGTCACTGCCATCCTCAAGGATCAAAGGACACTGTGTGTGACCTAGTAACAGGACAGTGCCCCTGCCATGGAGAGGTGTCTGGCCGCCGCTGTGATCGCTGCCTGGCAGGCTACTTTGGATTTCCCAGCTGCCGCTCTTGCCCTTGTAATGGGTTTGCTGAACTTTGTGATCCTGAGACGGGGTCATGCTTCAATTGTGGAGGCTTTACAACTGGCAGAAACTGTGAAAGGTATGGAATTCATATGCACTTTAATTTTCAGGTTTTTGATACTTTGTTCCAATCTCCTAATGGAGGTCCATTGAGTAGAGACTCAACAATATTTAAGTGTGGGAGGGAGGACTGTTAAAGGTGGGGGAGATCATTGTTTTCTCACCCTTCAAAATCATCTTACGAGCCAGAAAATGTTGGATTAAATCAATAACACACATTTTCCTGGCATGTTACTTTCTATGTTCCTCAAATGTGACATGTAAATCGAGTGCTATTACACAGAGTTTAATTGACCATACCTTGAGACTTTTGATTTAAAACCAAAAGTCGTTTTGCAGAGCAAATGAACGTCTTCTAAAATATTCAGTTTTCAGAGTTGCACTGTTTTAAAGCATAGCAAATCCTCATTGGCTAACGTGATCTTTTCCTGGGAACATTTTGGTGAAAGGAAATTGTCTTGACAGGTGTATTGATGGTTACTATGGAAATCCTTCTTCAGGACAGCCCTGTCGTCCTTGCCTGTGTCCGGATGATCCCTCAAGCAATCAGTATTTTGCCCATTCCTGTTATCAGAATCTGTGGAGCTCAGATGTAATCTGCAATTGTCTTCAAGGTTATACGGGTATGTGGTATAGTGCTTGATGCAATTTTTTCTCTTTATCCCACACTATAATCTGTAAAATGATCATATATTCATGACTTTATCTTGGACAGATGTGTGGTACAGAAATGGTAAGAAGACACAATGTGATAAATTGCTGCTTTATTGAACAAAGAATTTGAATGATTCACAAATCAGTGACAATTAAAACTCATTGGCCACTGAGCTATAATTGTTTGCAAATAATGTTCTAGAAAATTAATTGACCAAATGAGACCAAATCAATTAATTTATTTAAAATAAAATTATCACATGTTAAGTAAGATATAAATGTGATAAAGTAGCATATATACTATATATAACAAGCAACTAAAAAAATAAATGGAATTAGTCAAATGCTTCTTTGCATAATGTCAAATATTCAATTTGATATTTCATAGACATTACTAATTTTTTCAGATATCGTGAAACAATATTTGGGCGTTCTACAGACATCACATAAGTCTTAATTCAAAACATGTATCTCTTGCACAATTAAAAATGTTAAAGACTTTAAGAGGGCTAGGCACAGTGGCTCACACCTGTAATCCCAGTACTTTGGAAGGCTGGGAAGTGGGTGAGGGAGGATTACTTGAGGCCAGGAATTCAAGACCAGCCTGGGCCACAAAGCAAGACCCTGTCTCCACAAAGAAATTTTAAAAATTAGCTAGACATGATGGATTGCATCTGTAGTCCTAGATACTGGGGAGACTGAGGCAAGAGGATCGCTTGAGCCCAAGGAGTTCATGGTTACAGTGAGCTCTGATTATGCCACTACACTCCAGCCTGGGGCCTGTGCAACAGAGCAAGACCCTCTCTCTAAATTGAAAAAATAAAAAGGTATTTAAACACGAGTGTGAATGTTTACTACAAACAAGAAGATAACTTATGAAGTCTATTTGATTTAATGATATGTAGAACATATGGCAATATTAATGATAATTACTATCATGATAATAAATTACATGCCTGATTTTCCCCTCATTTGTTACATCTAAGGTCAACAGTTAATTCTCACCTCTTCCCTTGCAGCCTCTTTTCCATGCACAGTTTGGTGTGTTTGGTCAGTTTTTAAGAACTGAGACCACGTTTGGGCTAAATGAACATTTCCAAGTGGGATGAACCAAAACGTGGAGAGTGGAGCCACAGTTTGGGCACCTAAAAAGCTGCAGTCATCTCAAGGTTGCAAGGGTAAAGAGTGTTGGAGAGAAAAGTGGTTCCTCCAGACTGCTTAATAGAAACACCCTCAAGGGCTCATATGTCATGAAAACTGCTCTTGCTCATCTTCACTTCTAGAAGTGACGGCTATTGCTGTTTGGGACTTTCCCTTCAGGCCTGTTTTATTTTCACCTTAGTTCACCTCTAGGATCACCTGAGAGTGGGTTGCCCCAGGAGAACAGGGGCTGAGATTAGTCTTGGGTCCTTCCTGGGGCATGCTAGTGTGATGCTGATTATATAAGGATCTAGAAATCCTGAGCCCACAGCTCCATGGTATTTGAAGAAAGCCTGGAATCCACTCTCCACCAAACACTTTTGAGTGCCAAATAATTATTTTGTTCTCTAAATGAATAATAATGAAAATGAAGGTTTTGTTTCACTTAGAACACTTTTCCTTATTCACCCCGAATGTGGGATTTCTCATTATTTCTTGAGGAGCCCAATAATTTTCTATTTAGGACATCGATCTCCTCTCTCCCAACACTGACACCTCACCCCATTCCTTTTCCTCCCCCTGTCTTTCAGGTACTCAGTGTGGAGAATGCTCTACTGGTTTCTATGGAAATCCAAGAATTTCAGGAGCACCTTGCCAACCATGTCCCTGCAACAACAACATAGATGTAACCGATCCAGAGTCCTGCAGCCGGGTAACAGGGGAGTGCCTTCGATGTTTGCACAACACTCAGGGTGCAAACTGCCAGCTCTGCAAACCAGGTCACTATGGATCAGCCCTCAATCAGACCTGCAGAAGTAAGTCTGCAAAACTCCCGGGGCGAAATGTATCAGCTGAGTGACAGCTTGTAAGTGTCTTGTCAACTCTCCCATGCTCATTTCAGTTAGGCCAGTCCCAGCAGGCAAAAGCAGCACCCACCAGGTGACAGGGCTGTTGTACTGAACTCATCAACAGAAATTAGTGCAATGCAACCACTGGTATTCTCAGATGCAGCCACAATGTTCTCACTGGTGTTACTAGTTTGCCTTTTGTGTCTGTTGCCTGAAATACCTGTCCTCGTGGATTCAAAGCGTTGTTTCTCAGAGTTTAGTCCGCAGTTGACCAGTGCCAGAGCAGTGGGGAGGTGAGGTGTATTAACATGCAAATTCCTAGGCTGTACTTCAGACCCACTGAGTCAGAATCTCTGGGAGTGAAGCCCAGGAATCTGCATTGTAACAAACTCGTCAAGTGACTGTAATGTATAAGTGAACCATTGTTTTCAAGTCATTTAAATAAATGGGACTTTGGTGAGTGGCATGAGGGAAAAATAAGATTTTTAGGCATCTTAACTGTGAGCTCTTGGAACAAGTTCCACCACATGAACTTGCCATTTGGGGAGATCGGAAACCATTAAATGGGTTCAACCTGCTTAGATTCTTCGGTAAATTCTTTACTATTATAAGGTGTTTGTTCTTTGAGCCCCTTGGAGAAATGATACATCCAGGTCTAAAATTCTCTTTGTATGGTTTGCTAAATGCCAAATTTATCACTGAATTTACCTCTGATGATGGTTTTATCATCCCAGGATGCTCCTGCCATGCTTCTGGCGTGAGTCCCGCGGAGTGTCCCCCTGGTGGGGGAGCTTGCCTCTGTGACCCTGTCACTGGTGCATGCCCTTGTCTGCCGAATGTCACAGGCCTGGCCTGTGATCGTTGTGCTGATGGATACTGGAATCTGGTCCCTGGCAGAGGATGTCAGTCATGTGACTGTGACCCTAGGACCTCTCAAAGTAGCCACTGTGACCAGGCAAGATACTTTAAAACTTACTAGTGCACTCAGAGTAAGGACTGATAGTGAGACATGGTTTCTAAATGTGTAAAGAAAGTTTCTTTTATGTACTGTTGTTAATTAGTGCATTTAAACAGGATTGACCTTACAGGGGATGGAGTCAGCCTCTATCAAGGAATGAAAACCAAAAAAAGAGAATGAGCATCTCAAAGCTCAGCTTCGCCTACTTCAGTTTTCTCTCTGTGACTGAAGAAGTCAGAATTCATACACAATGGAACACAGACATCAACCTCACCTTTCACTATTTCATACGTGTAATCACAGGGAAGATCTAAGAAATAATCAGAAGAGATTATTAATCAGAATGAAAATAAACAGATACCTTCAAAACCCACAAGTCCATTTAAAAAACTGAGCTGTTGTTTCCTATTGCTCACCAATGGCTTTACATATGGGTAAAATAAGAAGTCTTCTTGACTTCTAGACTGGCATCATGTAGGCATGTGTACCAGGAGCAAATCTTCAATGTTTCATATACAACTAATACTACATAGATAGATGCATGTGTGATTTTTCAGTCAATAAACCAGTGAGCACAGAATTTTTAATAAGGATAACACTACTTGTGGGAAAAAAACTATTTGTTAATGTCATGCCTAGTTTTTTTTGGCAGTTGTTGTGGTTTTTGTCTTTTGGCTTAATCTATTCTTTGAAATAATTTTCACATTAATAGAGTTTGGGGGGAAAAGGGTAAAAACAATGACAAGAAATGTTAGAAAAAGTCAAATTCACAATATAGGGATCAGGATTTAATTGGAATGAAAATGCAAATTTAAGTAACTGGAGTCTTTTCAATTAGTAAGCATGGCTCACCTCCTATTTCAGCTCCACTATTCAACCTATTATTCAAAGGTCAAATCTTTTGAAGGTAGTTCTTATATGTACAATGTGCTTTTCCTTCTCTTCTTTTCCTTTCTCTCCAATCCTCATCCACCAACCCACATAAACACCATACTTTTTTTTTTTTTTTTTTTTTTGAGACAAGAGTCTTGCTCTGTCACCCAGGCTTGAGTGCAGTGGCATGATCTTGGCTCACTGCAACCTCTGCCTCCTGGGTTCAAGCAATTCTCCTGCCTCAGCCTCCTGAGTAGCTGGGATTACAGGCCCCCGCCACCATGCCCTGCTAATTTTTGTATTCTTAGTAGAGACAGGGTTTCACCATGTTGGCCAAGCTGGTCTCAAACTCCTGACCTCAGGTGATCCGCCCACCTCGGCCTCCCAGAGTGTTGGGATTACAGGCATGAGCCACGACGCCCAGCCCCCACAACATACCTTTTTAAAAATAAGCTTTTTGTTTCAGAATACATTTGTGAAGTTGTAAAGATAGAACAGAGAAAATAAACCCCATACCCAGTTTCTTCTATTATTAACACCTTATATTAATTTAATAACATTTGTCTCTATTAATGAATCAATATTGATACATTATTGCTAACAAATTTAGTCAGATTTCCTTAATTTTTAGCTAATGTCCTTTTCCTGTTCCAGGAGTCCATTCAGAACACATTATATTTAGTCATCTTATTTCCTTAGGCTCCTGTTGGCTGCGATAGTTTCTCAAGCCTTCCTTATTTTGTAGAATGTCGCTCAATTCAAATTTATCTGGTATTCTTCTCATGATTAGACTGGGTTTATAGGTTCTGAAAACACCAGAGAGGTCAAGTGCCACTCTCATCACATCCTATTAAGGGTACATATTATTAACATGACTTATCACTGTTAATGTGAATTTTGGTCACCTGATTGAAGCAGTGTTTGTCAGGTTGTTATATCATCAAGTTACTCTTTTTCCTCCTTTTTCTACTGTGCTCCATGGAAGGAAGTCACTATGTACAACCTACTTAAGGAGTAGGGAGTTATGCTCTTCCTCCTCAAAGACAGAGTATCTCCACGAATCATTGGAATTCTTCTGCACTGGAGATTTGTCTGTTGTCTTACGTTTATTCATTCGTTCGACCGTTTATTTATATCAGCATGGACTCATGGATATTTACACTTTTGGGGATAGTTCAACACTACTTTATTTTGTGGTTCAAATTGTTCCAGCTTTGGTCATTGGAAGATCTCTCAGTGGCTCCTGTGTCCCTTTGACATAGGCCAATACTGTAGAGTTTTAAAAAGCATTTCTTACTTTCTGGCACTGCAAAATGTTCCAGGCTCATTTTATGTATTCTCTGCCCCAGTCCTAGAATCAGCTATTTATCTAAGGAACACTGATTCCTTTACTAGAGAGTAGTGTTAGAAACCAAGATCTGGACACTGGACGGCCATGCCTGTTTTATAAGCTCCCCTCCGTTTCCCATGTCTGCAGCCACTAACCATAGAATAAAGTGGTAGATCTCCACGTGACCACCTGGCTTCCCAATTCTTGAGGGACTCCTAGTACTCAAGACGCTATATGGCAAGTTTCTTAGACCTTTTGGGAAGCATATTTGTAGCAGCATTCAATAAAGACCATAGTTCCAAGGTAGCCTATGAAGCTGAAAGATAGATGGTTTTGGTTTAACCAGGAAGCCCCTCATGACAAGGGTCCTTTGGGTTATTTGGTGCATAGGGGATCCCTTGGGGGAACACTGGTCTCTGCAATCAAGAAACATGTTCACTGGAGTGCAGGGAAGACATGTGGACATTTAGATTCCCAGCTGTTTAAACAACTACTGATAGATGTCTCTACGTTAGCCAAGAGGTGGCTCCTGGTACATTCCCACAGAGAGATCCAAATGTGCCATCCATTATTTTCATCAACACTTTAGATGGAGTTGGAGAAACATGCTTCTCAAATTTGCAGATATTACAAAGCCGTAAGCTAATATGATAAAGACAGAACAAGATATCCCAGTAGGCTGTCATGCAGGCTGGAAACAAGGAGATGAAATGTTAACAGGGTAAAAGTAAAGTTTTGCAACTGAGTTTTTTAAATCCCTTGCATAAATACAGGGTGGGAGTAAGAACTTGGCACCAGCTCTTGTGAGAAAAATCTGAGGATTTTCATTGCGTGCAGGCTTCCAGTGAGCAAGCAGAGTGGTAGGGTTGCCAAAGAAGCAACGCCTGGACAGGCTGGAGTAGGGGGGTGCTGTGCCCAGGTTGAGGACAGTTACCGTCCCATTATCTGCTCTACTGGCCTGATGGTGCCAGGAGCATTGTTGTCATTTCTGAGCACCATATTTTAAACATTATATTGACAGACTAGTATGTGCCCAAAGGGAGACAACCAAGATAATGGACAGAACTATGCTATTCTGTGACAAAGGCTAGAGAGACTTAGGGGTGATCGACCTGAAGAAAAGAAGCCAAGGTAGGTTGGAATGGCCATCTCTAGTTGAGAGAAGGACTGTAAGGGGGAAGAGGCAATTGCAAACTGTTTTGTGCAATTTTGTAAGGACATAGAACAATGGGAACAAGTTAAAAGGAGGCAGATTCTACTTTGGTATAAGAAAGCACTGCCCAATAATCAGGGGCAATCAGCAGTACAACAGGCCTCAGGGCAACAAGCACCACATAACTCCTTATATTTGAGCAGAAGCTGGCAGGAACTCCAAAGATATTGAAACTTGGCAGATCCAGGCCAGGCATGGTGGCCCACACCTGTAATCCCACTTTGGGAGGCTGAGGCAGGGGCATCACTTGAGGTCAGGAGTTCGAGACCAGCCTGGCCAACATGGTAAAACCTCGTCTGTACTAAAAATACAAAAGATTGCTGGGCATGGTGGTGCATGCCTGTGGTCCCAGCTACTCGGGAGGTTGAGGTGGAAGTAATTGCTTGAACCTGGGAGGCAGAGGTTGCAATGAGCCGAGATCGTGCCACTGCCTTCCAGCCTGGGGAACAGAGTGAGATTCAGTCTCAAAAAAAAAAAAAAAGAAAGAAAAAGAAACGTGGCAGATTCAGTCACTCTATGAATCCAGCCACTTATTCACGGGAAACTTATGGAGTTGTTGTTTAAGCAGCTAATTTAGGCCTACAACAATAGTGATTTGCTTTTGTATTTTCTCCTGTTAATTTTCCAACCTCCTCAGTTTTCAGAAAAGCTGGTCTAGAGTTCAGCTGGGAGGGTAAAGAAAAGTTCAGCCCTCTCTGAAAAACACAGTTAAGTAACTCTCATTAAATCATTAAGCGTGAAGTACAAAAAAAAAGATGTTTTCTTGAGCAAAACGCTAATCCAGTTGGTAAAAACTACATCATACATTCCATAATGAAAACATTACTTGACACATTAACTGATGAATGGTAGACCAGGTCTTTGGCCTCACTCACTTACGGAGGAACTCCCATAACAGTTGAGGAAAAGAATCTGGCCCATTTCTCATTATGTGTTTTGTGTTCATTTATATCTGTGTATGTTTCCCAGTTTGGGCCACCTGTCCCTGAACATCTGGACGCAGGCGATATATTCAGGAGCTTTAGGCCAAAGCACATTAACTCCTGATCCTTGGTATTGTCGGGGGTGGCTGTTGGCCATGGGAATCATCCTTCCTCCGCCTTTGCACAGCTGTATGTTCTAAATCACCAGAGGGGAAAATGTTTCCTGTTAAAATGCATTATTTTTTTAGACCATAAAGCTTGTCAATTCCTCACCCATGACTGTTCTCACAGCTTACAGGCCAGTGTCCATGTAAATTAGGCTACGGCGGGAAACGTTGCAGTGAGTGCCAGGAAAATTATTATGGTGATCCACCTGGGAGATGCATTCGTAAGTACTGGGAATTCTAAAAACTCATTTATGCAGTCAGCCTGGCCCTACCATGGACATGCTATGAATCAACTGAATTTTAAATTTTTTTTTTTTGGTTGCTTTTAATAAGGTGGACTTAGAAAATTCACAAAGTTTAATTCTACATTTTGAAAATAATCTTCCTGTAGCCCTGCAAAAAGATTATTTTCCTCCTATGTTAAAAATTTAGCCTATATTAAAATTCGTAGCCTGTCTTAAAATTCCTCAAACTCATTACAAATGGAACAGTCAGCTTCCAAAAGAAGAAAATCCAAAGAAATGTCAGGTATCATGGGCTTATCACCCTGGTCAGTGATACATAGCCACACATGGCAACTCTTTCCTCCTCTCCATTCCTTTATAAATGCGCCCTTGTGGCTAAAAAACATTGCTCATTCCCTTGCCCCATTCAAATGCACATTCTGAATGATTTTCTCTGGGCCCCGCTTATTCAGTTCTAAGTGGAATTGCTGGGTTAAAACCCAGGGTGAAACTTTGACTCTTGGAAAATCTATCTTAAAGCCTCTTTCCCTGTGTCCCTCTACTGTTTTGATAATCTTATTTCATAAAAATGCTTTCATCTTTTATAGAGAAGCAGTAGAGGAAACTGCAAATAATCAAGTCAGGCCACAAACCCCACTAAAGCTCCTGGGGAAGAGTGGCTAACAAGGGGGAATGTCCTCCGGGTGATGAAGTGGCATGACACTGTCCCCTAAGTGGTACCTGCTAAGCCTCTGCACCAAGGCCAATGTGCTGGACAGATGTTATCTAGCTGAAGAGCCTAGTGTGTTAACTAGTTTTTATTTGTAATTGGCATCATTTTTACTCAAACTAACGAATGCTTTTTTTTTTTTTTTTTCTGTTGCCTGTGCTGGAGTGTAGTGGCATGATCACAGCTCACTGCAGCTTTAACCTCCCTGGGCTCAAGTGATCCTCCCACCTCAGCCTCCAGAGTAGCTGGGAATACATGTGTATGCCACCACACCTGTCTAATTTTTGTATTTTTTGTAGAGATAGGGTTTCACCATGTTGCTCATGCTGGTCTGGAACTCCTGGGCTCAAAAATCCACCCACCTTAGCCTCCCAAAGTGCTGGGATTATAGGTATGAGCCACCACACCCAGCCTCAAATGCATTTTTAATTTACTTATTCCTTGCAGTTAGTCCAACAACATAAGCTAGTGATTCCCTAATCTTTTGGAGATTGCAGTAAGATCAGTAGATCTCCCTATCCTCTATCTTCAGGCTTGGTCAGAAACCTACTCAAATAAAGTACTGTGTGGAATCAGTTTTTTTTTTAATTAAGACGAAATGAATTTAATTTCCTCTCCTTTTTGGCAAATGAAATTGTTTTCCTTATGTAATGGAAGACAGCATGGTCAGCACACCCAAGCTGGGCTTTACTCAGAAGAAGTGTGACCATGGGACTTCTTAGAGAGTCTCGATACACCACCCTCCGAGGCTGTAGCAGCAGAGTTACTACCATGTGTCCATCATTAAATCACACTTCTTACTCAAATAGATGAGGATCCCACTTGTAGACGCTTGCACTCACAAAATAAAAACATCTGATATTTGCCAAATTGAAATAGTAAACTGATTTGTTAGTGGAATATAGAGAGCCATGCTGTCTTATAATGGCTATTGCACAGATCTCTGAAATTATATTGGCTTTAAATATTCATCTTAGAAGTGTCAGTTGGGAAGATTCTCAGGAGAGAAGAAAAGACCTGATTCTTGAGCTAGTCATCAACAAAAGACCCAGTGACATTCTCTGCTCCTTCTCTTTTCCTTTTTAGCATGTGATTGCAACAGGGCGGGTACCCAGAAGCCCATCTGTGATCCAGACACAGGCATGTGCCGCTGCCGGGAGGGTGTCAGTGGCCAGAGATGTGATCGCTGTGCCCGGGGTCACAGCCAGGAATTCCCTACTTGTCTTCAATGTCACTTGTGCTTTGATCAATGGGATCACACCATTTCTTCCCTCTCCAAAGCGGTGCAAGGGTTAATGAGACTGGCTGCTAACATGGAAGATAAAAGAGAGACCCTGCCTGTCTGTAAGGCAGACTTCAAAGGCCTCAGAGAGAACGTGTCTGAAATAGAAAGGATTTTGAAACATCCTGTTTTCCCATCTGGGAAATTCTTAAAAGTCAAGGATTATCATGACTCTGTTAGGTAAGATTTATGCTCAAGTAACAGACAGCCAAACTCCTGATTTGCCTTAACTCCCGCCAAGCTTTAACATCCTCAACCTTCAATTTAGAAATGTACCTATGTTGACTTTAGGGGACTGATAGTTGTTCAGTTAATAACCAGGCTGGGCCGGGCCCCGTAGCTCATGCTTGTAATCCCAGCACTTTGGGAGGCTGAGGCGGGTGGATCACTTGAGGTCAGGAGTTCTAGACCAGCCTGGCCAACATGAAGAAACCCCCTTTCTACTAAAAATACAAATATTAGCCAGGCGGGGTGGCAGGCATCTGTAATCCCAGCTACTCAGGAGGCTGAGGCAGAAGAATCGCTTGAACCCTGGAGGCGAAGGTTGCAGTGACCCAAGATTGCACCATTGCACTCCAGTCTGGGCAACAAGAATGAAACTCTGTCTCAAAAAACAAAACAAAACAAAACAGCTGGTAATCATGTTTGTCTACTTTTTTCTCACCTAGTTAGGATTATATATGATTTTTCCAGATGCCGTTGATTGTAACAAAAAGACAGTCATTAATGGGGAAGCCCAAACTCAGTAAAGCTGAAAGATATAAAATTGGAAGTATGGTAGTTATGGTGGTTTCAAAAACAACATATATTTGTTTCAATGATACACCTAGTGAAAATTTACCTAAATCTTCCCAAGCTCTTCAGTTGTTTAGATGCCTATACACTAATATGAAGTCTTATACCAAGTATTTTCATTTTTCGAAAAGGCAAGCTCATTTTTATTACATATTACTGAATCTTTTTAAAAAATTTAACCATTTGTTGAGATTATGTTGATAGTTTTGGGCCACGGCTCAGCAAACTACAGCCCACAGGTGGAATCTTACACAGCCTTTGTTTATGTAAATTAAGTTTCCTTGGAGCACAGCCACACCCATTTATTTACCCCTCCTCTGTGACTGTACTCTCCAGAATGGCAGAGTTGAGTAGTTATGACAGAGATGCTATGCTTCCTAAGGCAAAGTTTGCCAACCTGTTATGGGCAAAACCAGGATGAATTGGGTATAGTTTCTACCCCCATAGAAGCACATAGTCTGCTAAGAAACGCCAAAAATGTGCCTATCTAGCAAAATATCCTTCCTCCCCAAGAAAAGTTCCTGGATTAAGGAATAGTTGAAGCTGCAGAGGCTTATGTCATATATAACACAAGTGTAAATATAAGGTCACTCATTACCTATAGGGAAATATCCCAGAAATATATGATAATTGCTTAAAAGGTGCACAAGGAAGAAGGTATTACCCACCTAGGTAGCTCAGGGAAAGGGTCACCACATCATAAATGCAACGACAGGGCCCAGGGAGGCCACATGGCCAGGGTCAAGCTGGCAGGTGACAACAGGCACATCTATACCTCTCTAAAGACTTCTGGGCTGGGCACAGTGGCTCTCACCTGTAATCCCAGCACTTTGGGAGGCTGCGGCAGTAGGATCACTTGAGGCCAGGAGTTCAAGACCAGCCTGGGCTACGTAGCAAAAGGATCACATGAGCCCAGGAGTTCAAGGCTGCAGTGAACTATGATTGTGCCACTGCACTCTAGTCTGGGTGACAGAATGAAACCCTGTCTCTAAAAACAAAGAAAGAATAAAACTTCTTCTGCATTGCAGGATCTGGACCCCTATGTTAACAGGTCTCCTCAATTTTCTAGAGATGTCAGATATCCCTATTTTTACTGAACTATCCCCACTTCAAAATGTATACAGCTAATCCAATAGCACTTGTAAGAAGCCCTACTGTATAGCCCAAAGAAAACTTGTCTGAGAATGAGCTTTGGCCCATGGACCACTGGCATGTGGTTAGACACCATTAGGAAAATGTCAGACAAAGTAGCACAAAGAAAGCAGAATGAGCCAATCCACCGTGGACATTCTGGACAGACTGCAAGAGCCACAGGCAGAGCCAGAGAGAAAGAGCGAGAAAGAGGAGTGCCCAGCCCAGGTCTGGAGTGAGGAGAAAGCAGGGGCTGCTGAGCTTCTTCAACCAGCAGCCCAGAGGCCTGTTCCCTTCTAGCCCACTTGCAAACTCCTGCTTCGCTTTCACAGCCACACAAACATCACCTCCTCCCTGAAGTCTTTCCTGACTTCCTCACAGAGAAGCCTGTGTTTCCTTCTCCATCTTCTCACCTCTTTGTGCTCCTTTGCCATTTCCTTGCTGGGGGGCACCCTGGACAGGGCCTGCCCTATCATGTGCTTGTCTTCTCCAGGCCTGGTGTAGTTCTATTAAAAAAAAAAATGTTGCTGGATAAACTACAAGTGGAAGGGGAACAAGAGGACAAAGAACCCCGGGTGTCATGAGCATAAATTCAGAAGTCAAACCACCTGGTTTAAATCCACTTACTAGATGTGTGGCTTTGGGCAAGCTACTAAACTCCTCCAAGCTTCAATTTCTTCATCAAAAAAGGGAGAGAAAGTCTGGATTTCATAGGATTCTTGTGAGAATTACTCAAGATCCATCACTTAGCATAGTGTCCGGCATAGGTAAGTGCTTAAGGAGTCCCAATTAGAGTAATTGTCATTATTTTTGTTGTTATTATGGTTAGCCTGAAGAATTGCAGTTGCGACAATTGGAGCTTGAAGGAAGAGTCTATAGATTAGAGGGGAGAGTTACAGCAGAAAACGGAAGGAAGCATTGCAGTTGTGCCAAGATAAATTAGTCCCATACATTCATTTTATAACTTCCCCCAACTGTACACTTCAAGATTTGTGCACAGTTTCTCCATCATGAGGAATGTGTTCATTATCCCCTCGAAGCAACTGTAGGTGCTAAACCCAGCAAATTGAAGCAGGACAAAGGTGTACCCCATCAAAGAAGAAGGTGATGGGAAAAAAACCCAGGGGAACACTCACCAGCAAGAAAACCTCCCTGTCACTAATGGAAAGTAAGAGTTGAGACCCTGAACAGAAGTTGCACTAAAAACAACCTTGCTGAATGCAGATTGATTCTAAATGAAGAGCTGATTTTACCCCAGGCTAAGTAAACGGTTCTGTTTTATCATATGTTGAAAGCCAGATGTAGACCAGCTCCCTTAGATTGATTTAATTGAAGCATGTCTGAACGCATGTTTTCAAACCCAAAACGAAGGAAGACAGAGCATAAACAGTCAAAATGGAATTATTTGAGAGCCTTTATTCTACTATTCCTTGTATGCTGTCCATATTTTAAATGAATGTTGCGATAGTCCAGGAAGGCGAATTAAGATGAAAGAGATGAGACATAAACACGATCATAAACCTTCAAATGAAAAACTTGAGTAGAAGGAATCCCTTCTAATCAAGAACACCTAACAGTAAGGGCAATTTTGGTGGCATTTTTTTACCAATATATCAAATGTAATACAAGCTTAACTATTTACCCTCATTTTCTCTGATAGAAAACAAATCATGCAGCTAAATGAACAATTGAAAGCAGTGTATGAATTTCAAGATCTGAAACATACAGTAGAAAGAGCAAAGAATGAAGCAGACCTCTTACTTGAAGATCTTCAGAAAGAAATTGATTTGCAATTCAGTGTCCTTAATGCAAGCATCGCGGGTAAGGGAAAAATGCATTTTTGACTGTGTCTACACAATGTTTGATGAAATCCATAGTGCATTCCATTAGTGAGTCATCCTGTGCTTACCACCATAGTGCCTGAGCACTTCAGAACATGCAGACACAACCATTAAAGGTATTATTTGTTCATGGATATTTCAACTTTTTAAACATCACAGAGCCTGGATAGCATTCACTCAAAAATAACAAGTAAACAATGTCTGATATTAAACACATGCTAACACCCAAAGTAATCTAGTGCCAAACCCATGTAAGGGGCCTTGAGTAATCAACAACTTAGAAAATCTAATATGGCCATAAACAAATGAGAGAGACATGTTTATATGCCTTTCTTGGTATAGGCCACTCCATTTTCAGTAACCATAAATGCAAAGGAATGTGAGGCAAAACAAAACAAAACAAAACAAAATCCACAACATTTCTCATAAGAGCTTTGTAAGGGTGGGAGTCATGCAACATAGTACAAGCCCTTAACTCATATTGCATAGTTCTTAAAACTGAATGTGAGCTATACCTAAGCCAAGATAATCTGCAGGAGAAATGGAACTCTAAAGCAAAACTTTGATTAGCTCATCTCCTATTCAAGATGATACCCCTGTTATATTTGGAAATGGACAACCTGTTACTACTGAGAGAAGCATCCCTGAGTTTATTCACACCTAAGACATCCAACTGAGAGGCAAATATACATGAATCCATGTCAGGAAAAAACTTTGACTGCTTTCATTATCCTATGTATACACTCCTGTGTTTTATCTGATTTTGACCTAGAAGAGAAAAAAAATAGAAGGCAGTTAGGAACACCTAATTTCCCTAAAGGAATGCCTAAATTTAGTGAAATAAATTCTAGCAAAGATGTATTGATGCTGTTTAATAAATGCCATGTAATGAGTAAGGAATCTATTCTGATTCCTAATCTAGAAGACAGTTCCCACTAAAAGAACTCAAAATCCATCAGCGGTCACCTGACGCCAGGTAAAATAAAGTGAAACTGCCCCCATGCTAATCCTCTCAAACTTGCAGTCCAACAGCAGTTACTGGGCTTTTTTCCAATGCCTGACATTGCGCAGTAGAAACAGGCAGATCATTACAGCAAGTCCCTACCTTTGAGTTATTTCTATCTAATGGGGGCAGGGGACAAGAATATAAGCCACCCCAAACAGCACTAAGACTGTTAGACCATCTTAAAGCTGCTTCAAAAACAGAGTAGCAAAAACGAAATTCTTCCTGGGTTCATTAGTAAAGCCTTCAGGGAATAGTTGGCAATTGAATTATCTCCACAGGTAGGAGAAAATCTTCCAAAAAATGAAAGAATAAACGAATTCTGAGTAATAGGAACTTTTTTTTCATGATAAGTGAAAAACATGATACATTAAGAGTATGGTCTTATAAGAACCAGAAAAGTTTGAAAGATAAGGTATGGTTGTCTCCTGCCTGGATTATGGTTCTACAGGGAGTAAAGATCAGATCAGGACCATGGGCCTCTGGTTCCTAAAATATGGAGTTATAGTTTAAACCCCTAATATACTATAATTTACAATAAAATATATCATACACACCTTATTACTTTCACAAATTTGTATTAATAATGCAAACATAGGAAATGTAGAGAAGTGCTTAAGAACACAGGCTCTAAAGTCAAACACCCTGGATTCACATCCTGGTTTCATCTCTTACTATCAATGAGAACTTAGGCAAATAACTTTCCTCAATAGAGCCTCAGTTTCCTTATTTGTAAAATGAAGATGATCATACTAATGTGCATTTCACACTGTTTTGTGAAGATTGAAGAAGAAAATTGATGGGAAGTATAGTACAGGCACCTACAAAGCACCCAGCTAATTGTTGTTAGCTATTGTTATCAGCCTCAACATCAGGGTTCAGGAAACCGCAGCATCAGGGCGAATCCTGCCCACAGCCTGTCTTTGTAAATACTACTTCAGTAGAACACAACCTCACCTGTTTATTTACATATTGCCTGTAGCTGCTTTCACTCTACAATGGCAGAGGTGAGTAGTCGGAACAGAAATGCTTTGGCCAGCAACGCCTAAAACATTAATTATTTGGCCTTTAGAGAAAAAGTTTGTCAACTCCTGCTCTATAGGGTTAAGTAAATTTAGTTGGTTTATTATATTTGAGTGTATATAGGTATTCATAGTTAAGACCTTATATTTGTGGAAATATTTACAGAATATATTCATATTATCTCAATTCTCACAAATTATTATCACCAATTTACAGAGGAAGAAACGAAATATAAGAGATGAACTGATTTGCTCAAGGGTATGCCCAAGCAGTAAAGGGTGAAGGCAGGACTCACACCACATCTGTGGACTTAAATCTCAATGCCATGTATCTATTCTATCCATATCTATTATACTATAGCTAATCCTTCCCCCATCAAATGCAAATTCAAGGAAGATGTTGAAATTTTATAGTGATAGTTGAGACCAAGACAGTAGCCAAATTATAGAATGATTATCTTAATAACTGATATGTAATTTCATTTGTTTTCACAAAACTTACCTTCCATTTGCATTGACATAGACTCCTCAGAAAACATCAAGAAATATTATCACATATCATCATCTGCTGAAAAGAAAATTAATGAAACTAGTTCTACCATTAATACCTCTGCAAATACCAGGAATGACTTTCTTACCATTTTAAATACATTAACCTCCAAAGGAAACTTGTCATTGGAAAAATTAAAGCAGATTAAGATACCAGATATCCAAATATTGAATGAAAAGGTAAATATTCATGATGGTAAGGTCAAAGCATTTGTGGTTTTTACTTGATATACGAACCTCTTCAATGATATTTCCCTAGCTTACATTCTAAATTTCTTTTCATTATATATTATAAATATATAATTATATGTATATACAATATATATTTTATTATATACTGTAAAAAGCCTTATTTTTATTTAACTCAAGAATTGATCAAAGAGTAAAGATTATGGCTTGATTTGATTATTTGATGTTATTTACTATTTCTAAAACAGTGCAGGCTATGAACATTTACTCCTCTTGCTTCATTATAAGAAAAAGGCTAATTCTCTCAAAAGAATAAAAAGTGCAGGCTGGGCATGGTGGCTCATGCCTGTAATCCCAGCATTTTGGGAGGCCGAGGCAGGCAGATTACTTAAGGCCAGGAGTTCGAGACCAGCCTGGCCAACATGGTGAAACCCCCTCTCTACAAAAAACACAAAAATTAGCCGGGGGTAGTGGTGTGCACCTGTAATCTCAGCTGCTCAGGAGGTTGAGGCAGGAGAATCGCTTCAACCTGGCAGGTGGAGGTTGCAGTGAGCGGAGATGGTGCCTTTGTGCTCCAGCCTGGGTGAGAGAGCAAGACTGTGTCTCAACAAATAAATAAATATTTTTTAAAAAGTGAAACTCATGTGTAATTCCTAAAAGTTTGACTATTTTCTCAGAAAACTATAAATATAAAGGATGACAGACTGACACAATACTGATAAGTAATTTAGATGTTTAGTTACCTAGGAAATGTTTAATGTTTAATGGGTTACCCCCATGTACCAAGGATGAACAACTATTGAAGAAATATATGAATAAAGCAATGCCTTCACTCAATGAGCCTGGATGGCATTACAGCTCTGACGGCCAGGCATGGTGGCTCATGCCTGTATTCTCAGCACTCTGGGAAACCGAGGTGGGCAGATCATCTGAGGTCAGGAGTTTGAGACCAGCCTGACCAAACTGGTGAAACCCCGTCTCTAATAAAAATACAAAAAATTAGCCAGGCGTGGTAGTGGGCATCTGTAATCCCAGCTACTTGGGAGGCTGAGGCAGGAGAATCTCTTGAACCCAGGAGATGAACGTTGCAGTGAGCCAAGGTCACACTATTGCACTCCAGTCTAAGCAACAAGAGCGAAACTCTGTCTCAAAACAAACAAAGAAAAAAAAGCTCTGACAACAAGTTGCTATTTAATGTAAATCATTTCTCTTTCAAGGTGTGTGGAGATCCAGGAAATGTGCCATGTGTTGTGCCCTTGCCCTGTGGCGGTGCTGTCTGCATGGGCCAGGAAGGGCACAGGAAGTGTGGGGGTGCCGGCTGTCATGGCTCCCTGACCCTCTCAACGAATGCCCTCCAAAAAGCCCAGGAAGCAAAATCTGTTATTCGTAATTTAGACAAACAGGTTCGTGGCTTGAAGAATCAGGTAAATACCTTCTCTTGCTTTATTTGTAAAGTTATAGCAATAAAGAAGCAGACTGCTTGAAATTTATAAAACTGCCATATAACTTCCAAGTGAGAAGATAGATTCTAGATAGTTGGTGTTCTTTTGCCTGGAAATATGGGATAAAATTGTAGATGATGTGAATGTAGATTTAGAAATAGAGATGAATATTGATATTTTCCGATTATATATATGTATACAGTTGACCCTTGAACAACATGGGGATTAGGGACACCAGGCTTCCACTCCACAACTGAAAATTTATGTATAACTTTTGACTACCCCAAAATTTAACTGCTAATAGCCCACTGTTGACTGGAAACCTTACCCATAACTTAAATAGTCAATAATATATATTTATGTATGTATTATACACCATAATGTAACCATAAAGTAAGCTAGAGAAAAGAGAATATTATCAGAAAAAATCATAAGGAAGAGAAAATATACTTACTATTCATTGAGAGGAAATAGATCATCATTAAGGTCTTCATCATCATCTTCACATTGAGTAGGCTGAGGAGGAGGAAGAAAAGGGGTTTGTCTTGCTGTCTCAGAGATGGTTTGAGGTGGAGGAGGTGGAAGGGGAGGCAGAAGAGGTAGGCACACTCAATGTAAGTTTTATTGAAAATAATTTGTACGTAAGTGGGGGTGTGCAGTTCCAACCTGTGTCATTCGAAGGTCAAGTATGTATGTGTGTGTGTGTAAAGAGAGAGAAAGAATTCAAGGTACATTATCATAGGTCATAGACTGGTGTGGACATGTTTGTTTACAGCAAAAACTACATAGAAATGTCAGGACTCCAAGCCTTAAAAATTTGAAAACAGGCCAGGAGTATAGGTCACGCCTATAATCCTAGCACTTTGGGAGGCCAAGGCAGGAGGATTCCTTGAGCCCAGGGGTTCAAGACCTGCCTGGGAAACATAGGGAGACCCCATCTCTATTTTATAAAATAATAATAATAATAATTATAACAATAAAAGAAGTATTTAAAGAATTAAATTTTTAAAAGGGTTGAAAACTATAGATCTCTCAAAGAATAATTTTTTGTAAATTCATAAATATATAAGGGTATATATGAAATCCTACTAAATATACACATTGTAATGTTAGAATTTAATGTTAGAAAATAGCTTAATAGGAATTAAACTGTGCCTTGAACTCATTCCCCTGTTGATAGACTGAGAAAGTTGTTTTAACATTTAAGTACCTTATAATTAAATCTATAATAATTTGAAATGATTTCATTTACTTTTCTGGTCATATTTATAAATGAGCATCATTTTTAATTACCTAGTTTTCTTTAGACTTTTTTGTGAGAATGCATTTTATTCTCTGGTTTGAAAACAAGGTAGGGTGTGCTCCCAATCGTGTCTCTTTTCTGACAATAGCAAGAGCTTCTGACAAAGAAGGAAAACAGCTTTTTAAGGACTGAAGATTTTTACCGTATATGTTACAATATTCGTTCAGTAAGCCATTCGTGTTTGCAAGCAGGAAGAAAAAGTCCCTCCTGGACCAGGCGAGTGGCTCAGGCCTATAATCCCAGGCATTTGGGAGGCTGACGCAGGGTAGGATCACTCACTGAGGTCAGGATTCGAGAGGCCATCCTGGTCAAACATGGTGGAAACCCTATCTCTCGTACAAAAATACAAAAAAGAAAAGAAGAAAAAAGAAAAATATTAGATCGGGTGTGGTGGCATGCCTGAATCCCAGCTACTCGTGAGGCTTGAGGCAGGAGAATGGGGAGCCTGGGAGGCAGAGGTTACATGTGAGCCGAGATCACGCCAATTGCACTCCAGCCTGCGGGCGGATCAACAGTAAGGGACCCTAGTCATGAAAGCAATAAACAAAAAACAAACCAAAAAAAAAACCCGACTCCTGAACAAAAAGGAAACATATGTAAGGACATCTGGGGTCTCAAAATCGAGTAAAGGATAAGAGGTCCAAGCTTGGGAATTGGGGTGAGAACCACAGCCAAAGATATATTATATATAGCACACACACATATAACACACACACAACAACACACCCTATATCCTGAGCAAGCATCTGATTAGCCAATCTAGAACATATCCATAGCATAAATATTTAAACTACTTACAGTAGTCCACATTCTGTATGTGCCACATTCATTATCCATTTCACACGTGGTTCTTCACTTGCTTTAAGCAAATATCCACATTACTATGTGCCAGGCAGTCCACCTACAAAGTTTGAGAATACACGCAGCAACATAGCAATTAATTCCTTGGTCTTATGGTCCCAGGCTTAAAACATACTCGCTTAACTGTTTAATGTAATTTAAAGCCTTATATTGCTAATTCTCAAAAAAATGAAGATTCACCTCATTTAAAGGACGTCTTATTGCACTTGATCATTCATTAAGTCATAAGTATGTTAAGCTATCAGTGTTGAAAATTTATCCTTGAAACCATTATTGGGAGGAAATTCTAGTTTAATCAGCATAAATGGAGATGGAAGCGATGAGAGGGATGTCACGTTGATAAAATTGTGTGGCTATTTCTCTTGCTCTACGCAGGAGCGAGTGCCAGAAGAGATTGTGAGAGATTCTCAGGAGTCAGTTGTGACAGAAGATGGATTGCAGAGGGATGTTTAAGAGTGGAAGTAATTTCATGATCTCTTTCCTTTCTGAATATGGTATCAACTAATCTACGGCCGAGATTTCCTCTGTCTCACTTGGTGCTTTGCTAGTGCCTAGGGTATTTTATTTCTGGAATTCTCATTTTACTGCAATCCATTCTTACTGCTATCCATTTTAAAGCTAAGAAAGTTCTAGAGAATTAAGTATCAACTCTGAAAAAAAAGATACACATTTTTAATCATGTAAATACTTTTTTGTTTTATCATTTGCCAATGACTATAATTTAAATCTTTTTCTTAAAAATCTGTTTGGCTCAAATTAAGCAGGCTCCTTTTGTGGGGAAATAAAGGGAATATTTTTCTTTTCTTTTCTTTTCTTTTTTTTTCTGAGACAAGAATCTCACTCTGTCTGGCCCAGGCTGGAGTGCAGTGGCACGATCTCGGCTCACTGCAACCTCTGCCTCCTGGATTCAAGCGATTCTCCTGCCTCAGCCTCCCCAGTAGCTGGGATTACAGGCACGCGCCACCATGCCTGGCTAATGTTGGTAATTTTAGTAGAGATGGGGTTTCACCATGTTGGCCAGGCTGGCCTTGAACTCCTAACCTCAAGTGATCTGTCTGCCTTGGCCTCCCAAAGTGCTGGGGATTACAGGCGTGAGCCACCGTGCCCAGTGGATTTTTTTTTTTTCATAATTATGTTTGATCCTAATTAGCCCTACTTCTGTCACAATTAATTTATTTAATAAAGCTCAGCTTGTTGGCAATATTGTCCTGTTTCTTCTGGGTTTTTTGTCTCTCTCTAATTTGTTGGAATCCCTAGAAAAAGTCCATGACCTTTCTCAGATCACACAGTTGAGAATTTGCACTTCTAGTTTGCTAGCCTATTACTCCTATCATTCCTCTACCAAGAGTACAAAGTGTCTGGAATTTATCTTTGTAGCCCACTCTCAGTTCAAGCTCATTTATTAAGAGGAGGAATGCTTTTTTGTTAGTTTTCAAAGAAAGTACATTACTTGAATTTGAGGAATGTTTAGAAGAGTAACATTTTAACTTACATAAAAGAAAATGCTCTCAACCTATTAAACATGATGACCACTGCAGGTAAGTAGTCCTATGTAATTTCTGTGAAAGTTGGTATTAAAGAATGCTAAAGCCCCATTAAAACAAAATTTGTGTTTTAGACTTACATTAGAAAAATTCATTAGCACTAGGTCAATAATGTTCTAAAAGATAAATGAATGATATTAAGAAAACATAATAATGAGAAGAGATAATAATCACCTTGTAAAAGATTCCTTGCAAATGCATCTATGGTTTATCTAGACTTTTATTTAGTTTTTAGTGACAGTTTTATTTGGTCCAGCTAAATAATTAAACATCAAAGAACATGCCTTTGTTGAGTATTTTCTTCACTGTGTTTTTCTCATTCCAGATCAAAAATATAAGTAAACTGGCAGAAGTCTCCAAAAACAATGCCTTACAGCTAAGGGAAAAACTGGGAAATACAAGAAACCAAAGTGACTCTGAAGAAGAAAAACTCAATCTTTTCATCAAAAAAGTGAAAAACTTTTTGTTAGGTAATTTAAAAATATATATTAGGACTAGTTTTTGTTTTTTCCCCTTTTTTAATATATAGTCAAACATCATAGCCAGTTCCTAATTACATTAATTGGAAATGACAAGCCTAAATCGGAAAAATTATATACGCTTTGGTTTTTAATTCCTTAATGAGAATAATCTCAAAATACCAACTCTGTGCCAAAACATTACAGCTTTCTGTAAAAGATAAATGTGGTAACAAATGGTAGAATTTAGTTCAAATTCCAAACACATGAACTTTGTGTTTAAAGTTATTTTATGTTTTTTTTTAAAGGAAAGTTCAACATGACAATTCTATCAGATTCCCTAACATCAGGATTCGGTAATTTTCTTTGCTGACAGAAATGATATGAGATCAAGATATGCTGAATTTTAATTAGATATCAAATATCATAGTGAGTTGGCATCTACAAATTTGATTATTAGCTATTATTGACTATTTTCCAAGTCTTCTTTTGTTGGTTCTCTGTGGCTGACCAAAAGTAGCTGATTTATTGTACATTATGCCTTACTTTGGGAGAGGCTCATTTTAAACTCCAGAGAATTAGTAAAGATTAAAAAATCAAGTACTGAAGCTGGAAATTGACCTGAAACCTTACTCTCTCTCTCTACACACACACATACACACACACACACACACACAGAGAGAGATATATATGATTAATCTGAAGAGGCTTTATTTTCCATAACCATTTTCCAAATTCAATAATTTAACATTTTATACATGAATTAGCAATTGCAGCATCCATTAAAATCTCTTTAATCACTTCATTATTCTACTTAATAGGTGTGAGAGACCCCTATGGCCAAGATTTTTTGTTTTTTGATTTTTCCTATCTCAATATTTCTAGAAATTGTATTGGCAGTTTCTAGCTGTTATTTTCAAGATAAACAAAAATTAGGCGGAAATTACCTTTGACAAAAATAGTAAAAACAAATGGGGTAGAATCCGTCTACTGGACTTTTTTTTTATTCAAAAGCAAACTTTCAATGATTTAGCTGGATGAATCAGTATTGACTGGACTCAGGTCTAGGATTAGGCTGGACTGAAAAGGCACCAAAACAAACATCAAAATCAAAGTTGCTAAACTAATCGCATGAACTGGTGGAACAGGGTCTACATGACCTCCTTTCTACCTAGTTTGCTGGGTCATAGAGCCTGTCCTCTTATTACTCTTCATTGCTACTGAATACATTTCTAATAAATATTTTACTTTAATTAACTTGAGGAATTGAAAGAAATCTATGTCCAGATTATTAAAACCAAAGGCATAAAGAACTATTATTACAACTAGGCATAGAGAAAAATCTTTTTTCATACAAGAAACTTCTTACTGCTCAGTGTCCCTAGAGCTGGTGACCAGGAAGCTTTCATGCCTTGCAGTGCCCTCTACCCACCTCTTGCTTCTCTTCTTTGCCTGGCTATAAAGCCCCAATAAAATTATCATTACATTACATGATTACCATACTATTCAGCTCTTCTTTGACTACCTCAATATTTTTCTTGAAATCTGAATGCCTTATTAACAAAGGGATGTATCACTTCTCCTGAAAGTTCTATATATAAAAATTTGAATCTATAATCTCATAATAAATACGAATAACTATTTGATAAATGAATAAGTGATTGAAGTAAATTCACTTTTCATTCTAACTTTTTTTTTTAACCTTTAAGTTCAGGGGTATATATGCAGGTTTGTAAACTCAAGTCACAAGGGTTTGTTGTACAGATTATTTCATCATCCAGGTATTAAGCTTAGTACTCATTAGTTATTTCTCCAGATCCTCTCCTTCCTCTCCACCTTCTAAAAGGTCCCAGTGTGTGTTGTTCCCCTCTATGTGTCCACGTGTTCTCATCATTTAGCTCCCATTTATAAGTGAGAACATGCGGTATTTGGTTTTCTGCTCCTGTGTTAGTTTGCTAAGGATAATGGCCTCCAGCTCTATCCATGTTCTGACAAAGTACACGATCTCATTCTTTTTTACGTCTGCATAGTATCCACGGTGTATATGTACCACATTTTCTTTATCCAGTCTATCATTAATGGGCATATACCATTGATTCCAGGTCCTTTTGCTCCTGTGAATAATGCTGCAATGGAACATGCATGTTGAGTGTGTCTTATGATAGAATGATGTCTAATTACTTTGGTGTATATTACCCGGTAATGAGACCTCCTTGGGTCTGGCTTGTAATTCTTCTTTATTTTTTTTAGGTCTTTGAGGAATCGCACACTGGTTTCCGAATGATTGAACTAATTTACCACCCCCACAACAGTGTATAAGTGTTTTCTTTCCTCTCTGGCAATCTCAATCAGCATCTGTTCTTTTTTGGACTTTTTAATAATCCCCACCATTCAGACTGGTGTGAGGTGGTACCTCATTGTGGTTTTGATTTGCATTTCTCTAATGATCAGTGGATGTTGAGCTTTTTTAATATACTGTTGGCCCATGCATGTCTTCTTTTGAAAAGTATCTGGTTTTATGTCCTTTGGCCCACTTTTTAGGGTGTTTTTCTTGTAGATTTAGTGTCCTTATAGATGCTGTATATTATTACCTTTCAGATGCATGGTTCGCAAAAATTTTTCACCCATTCTGTAGGTTGTGTTTACTCTGTTGACAGTTTTCTTTTGCTCGGCAGAAGCTCTTTATTAGATTCCATTTCTCAGGTTTGCTTTGTTCGTAGTCGCTTTTGGCATCTTCTATTCATTGAAACTTTGCCCCATGCTGTGTCTGAGA